TCCTATACATCCCTAGAACACTCCTCAGATGTCTCCTGTGTTCCTGTCGCCCACAAATACATCTGTCTTCCCAGTCCCTCCATCTAGGTCAGAACTGGATGTATTGCAGCATGTATACCCAAGGCCTGGCACAGCGCCTTGCAGTGGTCTGAGAGCCCAGCACATGTTGGTTTGAGTTTCACAGAGGGCACGAGCTGAGACTTCAGAGAGATTATGCTAACTCCCCTCCCTATTTCTGGTCAAGACACACAAGTCCTGAGGAGGCCCTGGTATTGGTAAGGTTCCTTGCCAGGCAAGTGGAGGGAACCTCCTGAGGACCATTGAGGAACTTGGTTATGCCTTGGTAAAACCATATGGTCAGCAGATGGGGCAGGATCTGGTAAGCCCTAATAGCATTGCTGGAAGGTCTTCCATAATGTCCCTATCCAGACCTCCTGTGGAACAAGCTAAACACACCTCAGCCACTCTAACAAGCAGAGACCCTGGCCTTAGAGTATGATCCTGGACCTGAGGGCCAGTGAGACCCCCGACATCTACAGAGCTGATTCAACGGGGCAATAGATTTGAATGTGGAGAAATCACATTTTTTTATGTTAGTCTCTAACTGAGATTTAGTCATTTCCTGTGAACAGAAGCCACAAACCGCAGCAGTAACGGTGTGTGTGACTGTCACCCATAGAAATACACAGATATTTTCATGTCATGTCATATTTATTGTAGATCTCTCAAAATAGCATTAGTGCTCATCACTGCTACAAAAGCATGGTAATATAAGACAGTAATTATAAGGCCTGCTGCCAGATCTTATCTCATAAAGAATAAGCGCAAAACATATTGATGTGTGATAAACAATATCCAAAGTTTGCTTGTTAGTGTTTTTAATATTTGCATAACTGTATTTCAGTATAACTGGGTTTTTTTTTTTGTAGCTATGCTGTGCATATGAAAAGTTGGTGCTTCTAGGAAGGGTCCTGGAAGTGTAAGAGAAGGAGGAAAGTGCCAGGCGTGGCAGCAGGGTGCCCTTCCTTAGGAGGAGACCCTCTGAAATTGGGCAGTGAAGAGCGGAGCCTAGCGGGTGGGACATCCAGGGCAGGATTTGTGGATGGTGCTGGGGCATTTGGGTTTGAAACAGAGCGGAGACCAGGGCTTCTGTCACGCAGGCACCTCCCCAAGGCTGGTCTTGGGGTATTCACAGCCCCTTGCCTCCTCTTTCCCAGTCCCAGCCATGATCACTTCCCACCCCAACACCACCATCGCCATCAAGGGTCACGCCAAGGAGCTGAACTGCACTGCGCGGGGCGAGCGGCCCATCATCATCCGCTGGGAGAAGGGGGACACTGTCATCGACCCAGATCGAGTCATGCGGTATGCCATTGCCACCAAGGACAATGGTGATGAAGTGGTTTCCACGCTTAAGGTGGGTCCTCAGTCCCGAGACCAGGGGACCCCATTACATTAGGTAAACGGGGTGACTGAGAGCCCTACCCTGTACCTCACAAAGTACCTACCATTCCCACACGTTGCTCCTCTCCACCCAGGAATTTCTACTTCAGAACCTCAGCCTGTCTCCTTTCTGACCACCACAGCCATCGTCATGTGGGCTTCTCAACCCCTCTTTCTTGCCTGGGCTCCCTGAGCCTCCTCTCTTTTCCTTGGGGACACCCCTACCAAGCCTCTTTCACAACCCTTCCTCCTTGCTTGAGTTCCTCTATATGCTCATCTCAAACCTTCTGGGAAGTTAAACCCTTGATAGAGGCCCTCTGAACCTCCCTCCCAGCCACCCCCTAGATTGTCCCCCTCTGAACATTTTCATCCTGTCTCAGCTCAAGCCAGCCGACCGTGGGGACTCCGTGTTCTTCAGCTGCCATGCTATCAACTCATATGGGGAGGACCGGGGCTTGATCCAGCTCACTGTGCAAGGTACATTCTCCTACCTGCCTGGCTGCCCTTCCACCTGCCCTAGGACCCAGAGGCCCACAGCTAAGCTGCCTGCTACTATCTCACTTTTCCTCCTCTTTCATCATGGCCCAGAACCCCCTGACCCCCCAGAGCTGGAGATCCGAGAGGTGAAAGCCCGGAGCATGAACCTGCGCTGGACTCAGAGATTTGATGGAAACAGCATCATCACTGGCTTCGATATTGAATACAAGAATAAATCAGGTAGGTGCTAGGACAGACGGTGAGTGTTTGCCTACTGTGACCCCTTGTGGTACACAACCTGTCTGTGCCTCTCTGATGGGGCAGCAGCAACCTAAGGCAGACTCATTGGCACTCTACAATGTACAGAAATCTGTGGCTTCCAAAGGAGGGGAGAGTGGCTAGCCTAAGAAGCTAGGGAACAGACTGAGACATCCTGTTGGGCCAAGGTTCTCCAATGTAGGTCTGATTTACAGGTGCTGAGTGCGGGACTGTGGGCTGCCTCTGTGGGGGTGGCATGGCTCTGCAGTGTCACCTGGATGGTCTTGGTTTGGAGTTCAGTGAGATTAGGTCACTGAGTCACTGCTCCCAGATCCCTCCTCTGCAGCCCACAGACTCTGTGCTACCGCCACATCACTGTGAGACACTGTGGGGCAGAGTCAACACCAGGTACCCAGGAGGTGCAAAGCCCACGATGGACCCCAAGCAGTGGGAATGGTGCAGGGGAGGAGGAAGCAGAGGGAGCAAGAGGATAAACTTACGGCTCCAGGGCAGGAGTGAGAAGAAAACCAGACTTCTCTGGCCCTTTTTGTGCCTTCAGAATCTGGTACCAAGGACCTATACTGGTTTCTCTATATCACTAAAAATAAAAGGTAGGAATAGTCTGGGGACCTCAGGCCTTCTCTTCCCTCTTCTGACCTTCTCCTGCCAATCCCAGCTCACCTACTGAATCCTAGCTTAGCTCTCAGATTGTACCACCTAGATCCTTCCTGCCCCATGTGGCACAATACCTGAACTTGGCTGACTAGCCTTGCCTCCTGATTGGTCAGTCCTCTCCCCCAAATTCCTTGCAACACCTGTCACAGGCCTGTGGTGACAAAGGGGCTGAAGGCAGACACTGGAGTGTGCATCTCTGATGTGCGCTGGAGTTGCTGCCTACCCAAGGTGTGTCACCTCATCTCTGACACAAGCTGCTACCCAAAGGAGTCCTACCCTTGAAAACGTCCAGTCTAGCTGCAGATAGACACCCAGAGACCACACTGAATGCAAAGGAGGGGCTGCAGCTCGGTCAAGAGTTATCAAAAAAGGCCCCCACCTGGTCCCTTGTGGATGACTCACTAAGTTAGGTGAAGGGGACTAAGACAGAACACACGACCTGCAGAGAAGAGAGGAGGGCAGAGCCAGGCAAGGCACAGCCCAGGCCTCACAGACCCCAATCGTGGGCACTGCACTGTGACTGTAGGTGTGCATTGGAGCAAGGAAGGGAGGACAGTCTTCAAGCTCAGCTTCCGCTGCATAGAACCGCTGTGTCTGAGCTCCCAGCACAGCCTCCCCACCCCAGGGATGGATGCCGGCTAAAACCTGGCATCCAGTACCAGAACAAAGAGGTACTTGCCGCTCTGCAGGTGATGACAGCAAAGAGACAGAGGGGCAAGGAGTCTGAGTATGTCCGCCTCACATCTAGGCCTCGCCTGAAGCTGAGCCCAAGCCCCCCGGAAGCACACAGTGATGTCATCTCACACAGTGATGTCCACTCTATCCCCCAACTGGGCTCACATCTGGGGTGGGTAATGGGTGCCTGGGAGGTCTTGCCTCCCCTCTCCTGTGTCACCTATCTGAGAGAAGAAACAGAAGAGAGGCAGCCAAGGAAACGTTGTTCTTAAAACATGTCCGCATCTCCCTCCCTACCCCATCCTATCTGTCTCTCTTCCAGGGTGGGGAGCTGCATAGCTCAGACCAGGACAGGAGAACCATCAGGTGTAGATTGGATGGAGATGGAAATCTGGAGCTGAGCTTCACAGGACCCTTCCCACAGGGCTTTGCACACTTAGAAATCCAGAGACCTGGGATAGAGGCCCCCCATCTGGCACATCCTGGCATTTGAGAGCAATAGGTCCATGAGAACTTCAGCTTGTCGTTGAGACAGACAAAGGGTGTGAGCAAGGCACAGCTTCCCTGCCTCTAAAGTGGGTGCAGAATAAAGAATGTTAATGGGGGAAGATTGTGGAGAATTCTAGAAGCAGCTGGCATAAGGCTAGAGAGAGCCCTTGACAAATGTAAGCTCCCCTCCCCCTATAGCTCAAACACCTTATGTGGAGGTTTAGAGTCCTATGGGACTTGCAGGCTAAAATATGTATGTCTGTCAGTCAGTCACATGGACCAAGTGCCAGTTTTTCCTCTGCTCCCAGAATCATGCAAAAGTCATGGAGTAGAAAAGGAGAATGAATTAGGAAGCAGAATGTTGCCCTTGAAGTGGGAACACAAACTGCATGCACGTACATACACACACACACACACACACACACACACACACACACACTTCCAGAATCATTATCCAATCAAATGCAATTCACTGTTAACTGTATTACATAAGAATGGAGAATTGTATCCAAGGGAACAGAAGGATGACTCAAAGGAAGAAGGAAGTGGGCATGTTTATATGTGCATTTGTGTGCATATGTGCATGTGTGCATGAGCGTGAGCATGTACGTGTGTGTGTGTATATGTGTGTGTGTTGTGTTGTGTTTAATCTCACCTCTTTGCACCTGTGGAATGGGAAGATGACAATCATTCCTAAATCTGCAGACTTGGAGTGACCAAATAGCAGAGTTGTATGGCATTTAGCAAGTATTTTTGAGCAGCTTTGAGCATCTCCCTTCATTTTTCTTAAAAGGTAGGGTGATATTTGAGACAAACTCTTTCCTTGAAGTTGGGTTGACCCGGAACTCTCTGTACAACTCAGGCTAGCCTCAAACTTATTATCCTCCTGCCTTGGCCTCCCAAATGTTAAGGTTATGAGTGGGCACCACCACACACAGCAGACAGATTTCTTGCTTTTGTTTTGTTTTGTTTTATGTGTTGGGGACTGAACAACCCAGGGTCTCTTGGATGCTAGGCAAGCTCATGAGCTCTAACCCTTGGGTATCCCTTTGCAAAGTAGAGACAGGAATCCTTCATTCTCAGCGAAGATGTGAGGATAAAGGGAGCGTGGTGACATACATAGAAAAGCCTTGTTTCCATTCCCTCCCTCCTGCCTCCTGCCCCAGACCACACCCAAGCTGGGTCTCGACCATCTGCTCACAGTGCCCTGCACCTTGGCCAGGTTTGCTGCCACGTTGCTCATCATGCTAATTTTCCAAGGGAAATTACCAAGCCTGCCCTTTCTAAGCCATCATGTTCATGCTGTCTTTTCCCGGCCCCAGGCAGCAGAGTAATAATACATGAACGCTGAATGATAAATAGCGCCGTCCACACAAATCTATCAGATGGCACCGCACACCCTGAAAGATGCAGATGCCACATTTGCCTCTGTTCACCAAGCTCAGAGCAGGGCGGGGCTTCTCTGAGGACAGCCTTCAAAGCCCACAAGACTGCCTGGTGGGCCGGCCAGCTTTGGGGGCTGTCCTGGCCCCATGGTGGAAATCAACATGGTTTAATGTGTCGCACTGTGGGAACTGGGGTGCGGCTGGTACTGAGACACTGTCAGTTGCTGCTGGGACCCAGGGGGTGTCCGTGTCACTGGGGAGTATCATGCAGGGGGTGGGCTTCAGAACTGTGATGCAAGAGAGGAATCAGACACACAGACTAGATTTGTGTTCCCCTTGAGGCTTTCTTCCTTCCTCCCCAAGTCTTCTGCAGTGAAGTGACTCCTAAAACGGCCAAAGCCCAGGCTCCTTTTAGCAAACAGCCTTCAGAGCAGAAGGTACAGCCATCTCCCCAGCCACTTCCTTAGCTTTAAGAAGAATATTTTGCATCATAAACCCTTTGATGAAGAAAGGAAGAGAGAGCCCTTAATGAAATATGTTAATCTGAGCAAGGCAGGCACATATGAAAGGGAATATTAAAAGAGACAATATTCACCAAATCCAGTGCAATGTTCCCAGAGAGCAGAGGAGGGAACAGAAGAAAATAGGCCCCCATGTTCAACTGTTTAGCATCGGGGGGTGGCCAAGATCAAGCCTGGGTATTCGGGAGAGCCCTCCAGGCCTGATTCGGCTGCATTAGGAGAGAGGTGTTTTAAACCAGCATCAAAATCGATGTGAGAACACAAGGTCAAATCTACCTGCAAACAGCTGACAAGAGAAGGAAAGGAACTGCTGTCTGGGACAGCCCCTCCCTTGCCATCCTGTGATTGACAGCTGAGGAAGGCAGGGGAGGGAGAGACAAAATACAGAGGGACTCTAAATCCAAAGTAAAAGTCCAAAAAGGTGACTCTGATCTAAAAGCCAGCAGTGGGTTTTGAGAATTCAATACTTGCAAAGTGGGGGTGAGAACCAAAGCTTTAGACATCACTTCTGTTTTCAGAGAGAGGGTACCTGTTTGAGCAATGCCCCTAGGACAGTGAGCCCCAAAAGTGAGATGCTGTGGCATGGCTGTGATGAGGGCGCTATATGAGTCTGGGGAGCAATGGACATGGGCTAGGATTATGGGGCCTTGGTCCTAATGTGAACTTCTTCTTCACCCAGTAGCAAGGGAAAGGGACTGAAGAGTTTCATGAGAGGAGGTGGAAGGGTCAGATTTACATTTTAGAAGGAACAGACTCAATGCCAGAGTACAGAGAATGCCCTTGAGAGAGGCTCGGCCGTACTTGCAGAATGAATGACAGCTGTGGGGTCCAGAACAGGTCAAAGGGGGCAAGAAACTCACCGCTGGCTGGAGAAAGGACTAGGAGAGACGAAGAAGAGATGGCAATAGTACGACCTGGGTTAGAGATATGGGGGAGAGAGCCCATATATAATCAAGAGCTACATGGGGCATAAAAGCTATCGGACTTGATAGCAAAGGAGACAGAAGGGAAAGTCCAGAATGGCCTCTGGGAAGCCCGGATGTGAGAGGAGATGGTGCGAGAGGAGCATGGATGGAGCCCGGAAGAAAGTATTCAGGGGTGGTAGGAAGGAGGCGGCAGTTGCAGAAAGACACCAAAACAGGCCCAAGAGAGAAGCAGAATTCAAGAGCTTTCTTAGACAACCAGGGGCAGAGTATTTTAGAAACAAAGGGACAGAGGGTAGACTGACAAGCAACAGGCCAAGTGGGTGATGGGACTTGGTGATGCTGGAGATACAGCCCCGACAGAGGAAGGTGCACGGAGTCAGGAATGTGCGTTTAAGCCATCCGCCGCTGTATCTGGCACCACACAGGTGCCTGGTCGATGTCAGGGCCGCTTTGTGGACCCTGTTTTCAGACACATCCCACACGGCTCTTCCCTCTGCCTGCACTCATCAGAAATGAATGCTCTGACTTCTGATCATCCCCCCGCTCCCATAAACACAGGCAAGCCCGATGTGATTTGTGAGCTGGCACTTGCTCCCAGGGCCCCACATACAGAGCCATGAGCACCTGCTTCCGCATGGCCAGTCTGTTCCATCCCAAATCAAAGAGGTGTCTGCGGCAGGTACAGGCTGCTATTTGCAATTCTGGCTTCACCTGTCAGCTACAGAGTGACTCTCTGGGTGGCTGGGGTGTTTTTAAAGACAAGCAGAAAATAATGTGTTTCTGAGCATCCACAGCCTGCCATGTTGTTGGTTTGGCTCCAGCAACTGATGAATTAAATGCAAAACTACAGATGGGAGTTGGGCCGATGCCCTTCACAGATGCTAAGCCTGTGCAGTTGAGGGCTGTGTTTTAAAGGCATCAAGATCTCATTTAACCAGAATTGAAAGGATAGAGTTAGGATGTATTCAGGCTATGTATGTATGTGTATATATGTATGTCTTATTGTGTGTGTGTATATATATGTGCATGTGTATATATGTATGTCTTATTGTGTGTGTATATATATATATGTGCATGTGTATATATGTATGCCTTATTGTGTATGTGTGTGTATATATATGTGCATGTGTATATATGTACATATGTATGTCAGTATGTATGCATTTGAGGTTGGCAAGCTGGTTCAGTGAGTAAAGGCACTAATTACAAGCCTGGTGGTCTTTTGATCCCTAGAACCCACATAGTGGAGAAAACTGCCTCATGCAAGTTGTCCTCTGACTTCCATATGCACAAACATTTCACCTTTTTCTTTATTTATTAAATGTAATAAAAGCTTCAAGTATCTTCTTAAGGGCTCACTCAGTAGCATGCTTGCCTTGCAAACATGAGGGCCTGAGTTCAATCCTCAGACACCACGTACAAATATCAAGCACAGTGGCATGCACTTGCAACCCATCATTGAGGGAGGCAAGAACAACAAAAACCCAGGAGGATCTCTGGGGCTTGTGAGCCAGCCAGTCTAACCTAATAGAAAGTTCTAGGTTTAGTGAGAACCCATGTCTCCAAAAAACTGTGGTGGAAAGTGATTGAGGAACACTGAGACTGTCCTCTGGCCTCCATACGCATGCAAACTCATGTGGGTGCACACAGGCACACAAACACACATGCATAAAAAAATAGCATCTTAAAATCTGCCTACAATTGCAGCGTCCTCTCCTGCCTTTGGAGCCAAACCTTAGAGATGTGGCTTCGCCGCAGTGTATCTCTAAGCACAGACGATTAGAGTGAGCAGGGGTATCTGTGCATGCCTGGGAGCCCTTTAAAGCCCTACTATGAGCTTGCTTCCTTGGTCTTTACCCTTTTTTCCCAGAAGTGTTAAGGGGGCACCTGGTCAAGCCCACTGGGTTGAGAAGGTACTGGTTCAGCCACCACTCTAGCTGCAGCCCCTCTCCGTCTTCTCTAGAGTCCCCTAGTAGGGACTCGGCAAGCACGGATGAACGGCTAAGCTCCTCTAGAGATGCATAATGTCTGCAGGCACAGGATCCCTGAGTTGCATTTATCTGGCATTTTCCATGTTCTACAATTTTGCTAAACATTAGCCCTGGAACGGACTGCCAGTCTCCTTGGATGAATTGAATTGTGAACATGTTAATCCTTTTGCTGGTCCTTCATTCTGAAGACTCCGACACCTTTTTCTGTTGCTGGTACAGGAGAGAGGGTGGGGTTGAGCTACGCACTCTCACACTTGGTCTTGCCCCCCTCCCCACCCCACAACCTCACACAGAACTCTCAGGTCATCGCACAGATGCACAAGGTAGGGAGATATAGAAGCAGAGAGCAGGAGGGAGGGGAAGAGTCCTTGCTTCCCCGTCCCCACAGGGATACAGGGTAAATGAGGTATCTCACAGTTACCATAGGTAGGTCATGGTTGTCCCAATAGGTGCCATAAGAAAGACACTGTCCATCAGACCCCAGGGATAGTAAACAAGTAATGACTTCAGGGGACAATAGAACGTGTCCTGTTTGACCCTGTCTGTAGTTTAGCTCACACATTGTGAAGACAAAGAAGTCTGGCTTCTCCCAAGCTGGAGCCCTTTCAAATGGACCCCCTAGAGTCCCTGTGAAGTTATTAAGGCTGTCTGCTGTCACTGTGAACTGGACCCCTCTGGCATCCAAGCTGGAACTGGGATAGGTTGATACTTATGACTAGGTTAGGGACAGGTCTCGTAATATGCAAGGATGTGCTTCAAAATGGTTGTCTCTTTTCCAGATTCCTGGGATTTTAAACAGTCCACACGCAACATTTCCCCAACCATTAACCAGGCCAACATCGTGGACTTACACCCAGCATCTGTGTACAGCATCCGCATGTACTCCTTCAACAAGATTGGCCGCAGCGAGCCGAGCAAGGAGCTTACCATCAGCACGGAAGAGGCTGGTGCGTACCTATCCTGTCCTCTGCTCCCACTGCCCATGGTCTTGAACTCATGGACATTAAGGGCCTTCACCAAAACTGTTTATTCACAGAACTACATCTTATGCGTCATAAGAGGTCAGAGTTTTTCCAAGAAGGCAGGGTTGTTTTGTTTTATAGTCGTTTGTGTTTGCCGCTTGGCTTTCGGGAGCTGTCCGTGGTCCTGCCCTGTTTCCCAGGGCTCCAGTCTGTGCGGGAAAGAAAGCATGAAGTCTGGGTTCCCTGGGCCAGTGATCTTTATCACAGTTTGGGAAGGTGGGGGAAGGTGCACATGTCCTTGCACGTGGGTGTATGTAAGGGTCAGAGGACAGTCCTGAAATCTGCCAAGCTGACTAAACTGGCTGGCCAGCAAGCCCCAGGGATCCACCAGCATCTGCCTGCCTAGTAGTGGAGGTCACAAGTGTACACTCAGAAGTCCTTCAGGTTGGCTACACTTAGAGTTTCTTGCATGGGTTCTGGGGATGGAACTCGGTCATCAGAGTTGCAATTCAAACCCCTGACTGGGCTATCCACCTAGCCCTGGATTTTGTTTTGGTTTGGTTGGGTTTTTTGATATAGGGTTTCTCTATGTACCTGGTTATTCTGAAACTAGCTCTTGTAGACCAGGCTGGCCTCAACCTCACAGAGATCCTCACATCTCTGCCTCCGCAGTGTTGGGATTAAAAATGTGTGCCACCACCACCTGGCCTATCCCAAGATTTTTAATAAAAGTTTAAATATGATTTCTATTGATGTATTTTCTTACATGTGTTATTGTGAAACAAAACGATGCAGGAACATGCTGAAGACATATGTGTGCAATGTTACAAATGATCGTAAAGGGATAACTGCCTTGTCCTACTCTGAAGATCAGCTACTTCTCCCTCCTCAGCAGTCCCCCAGGCTGACATGAGGACACAGGATTGTTTCCTCTACCAGCTGTGACTCAGTGTTGCTTCTTCTGTGTACCCAGCTCCTGATGGTCCCCCTATGGATGTCACCTTGCAACCAGTGACTTCACAGAGCATCCAAGTGACCTGGAAGGTAAGCGAGATGCCATCTTGCCTGCCCCTCCTCTATCCAGCAGGCTCCTGAGTCTCTCTTCACACAATACCCATGCTTATTTTCTCACTGGATCCAGTGGTATTTGAAGATTTGCTCCCTTTCACCCTGGCCCTCTGGCAAGGGATGAGATGAAGAACTTGACAGTGCCAGTGTGGTTCTGCCCACTTACCAGTCCATCCTTAAATCCAATGTGGTATAAAAGAGTAGGAAGTGGGTTTGACTTTGTGCAAAGTTCTCCTTCGAAAGCATCAGGGTAAAATCAGAGATGAGTGTGTGTGTGTGTGTGTGTGTGTGTGTGTGTGTGTGTGTATCTGTGTGTCTGTGTGCCTGTGTGTGTGTCTGTGTGTGTATGTGTGTCTGTGTGTCTCTGTGTTTATGTATCTATGTGTGTGTGTCTGTGTGTGTGTTTATATATCTATGTGTGTGTCTGTGTGTGTGTCTCTGTGTCTGTGTGCTTATGTATCTGTGTGTGTATGTGTGTGTATGTCTGTATGTGTGTGTCTGTGTGTCTCTGTGTGTATGTGCATGTGTGTTTATGTATCTCTGTGTGTGTCTGCATGTGTGTTTATGTATCTGTGTGTGTCTGCATTGTGTTTATGTATCTGTGCGTGTGTCTGCATGTGTGTTTATGTATCTGTGCGTGTGTGTGTGCTCCTGCACACAAATGCACGCACACTCAGGTGTCAACCAACACATGTGCAGAGAGCAGGAGTCCGTTCTCTTCTTCTGCCACAGGGTCCTTGGGGTACAGCTCAGACCATCTAGCTCAGCAGCAAGTGTCTTTACACATGGAGCCATCTCTCCATCCCAGGCTCATTTCAGAAACACCGAAAACCATTAGCTGGCCTTCTAGGCCTAGGGAAGCTTCAGAGGGAAAAGGCCAGTGACCAGTGTGCACTTCAGCCAGTGCTACAGGGCTGAGAACTCGGGCAGCGAAGGAAGCTGCCTCTTAAGGATCCCTTAGAGGATACTCCACTGATGAGCCAAGAGATGATCAGAACCAAGAGTCGGGGTACTTCTCAGGAGCTCTGGCCTTGTTCTCTGTCCCTCCACATGAGCAGATGACCCAGTGACTCCAGGCCTTCTTGCAACTCTGCAGCATCCAGCCCCCAGCGCTTGCTCCTACCAAACTTATCTAATCCTCTCCCTATGAATGGTAATATAAAATGATAAAAATGACAAAAAAAATAGAAAGTACCCTGAATGGTATCTTCATCAACATCCAGCTGAGGAAACCAAGGATGTCGAGATTTGAGGTGATTTGCCTATAGTTGCTCAGGTGTAAGACAGAGACCAAGGCACACAGATGGGACTCCCAGACCCATCTCTCCACTGTAGTATACTGAACAGTTAGTGGACAAAGATCTTCTTTGGACCTGGCCTTGGTCTTCTAGGTACATTCTAGTCTTGACAGTGGACCTTGGAGTGGCTTCATCTTCATTAGGAATCAGTTTCCTAATGCTCTGTTCCCACTCTAACTCCTAAACAGAAAACTCAAGTGATATTAGTCCCCTATCTGGGCTCTTCAAGAGGGTCGACTTGAACACAGAAGAATGTGAGAAAGGCCTAGACATTTTCCCTACAATGGCCGTGGCCACACATGTGTGCACACACTCACGCAGCAGCAGCAGCAGCCGAAACTCTTCCCTCCCCAGAGAAATGGCAGAAGATGTCCTATCTGGTGCCTTGTATCAGCTGCTTTTCTTGTTGTGGTAAAATATCTGACATCGGCAACTAAGGATGGAGGAGTTGGTTTGGACTCAGAACGTGAGGGTTCAGTCCATCATGGGGGAAGTCACAGAAGGTCACATCGACGGTCAGCAAACACAGTGGGGAAGGCTGGTCCTCAGCTCACTGTCTGCATCTTCATGTGTCTCCCCACATCCATGAATGGGACCGCTCACATTTAGGCTAAGTCTTCGCATCTCTATCAACCTGATCTTAGAATTCCCTCGCAGACATGCCCCCTAGAAAAAGTCCTCTAGATTCAGATCTGGGCTCAGGATTTTTCTCCAGAAGCTGAAGGTAAAGCCCAGTTCCACCTCATCTTGTCAGCTTCTTAGTTCTGAACTCATGTCTTGGGACTACACAGAGGGAGCCCAGAGGTGGAGACTGAGAACCATGTAAAACACTCAGGTGTTTGCTACAAAGCTCTGACCCAAAGGTCGATAAAAATTTAGAATCAAATTTATTTCTCCAAAGTCTCATAATGAAAAATAAAATTGATTAGAAAGTTAGAACTTCAGAATGAGCCAGCAAGTCAATAAATTTAGGGACTGACTTCTCATGGGGATTTTTTTTTAAACGCTGAGAACAGATTAATGAAAAATAAAGATTCGCTTGAAAGATAAGTCAGTCCACTTTAAGACTCTCCGTGGGATGGATCACCCCTGCTTTAGGATATAAATTTGCAATCAGCCCTATTGATTCCTTAATGCTTCAGAGAAATATTGTTAAGATTGATTTAAACCCTGAATGTGTGTGTTTGGGAGGGAGGGAGATATGGAATGAAAGAGAAAGAGAGAGGAAAAGAGAAAAAAGTGAGTGACAGAGAGAGGAGGGAAGGTATGTCAAAATTCGTATAAATTTTTGAAATATACATGTACATCAGGGTACCTGAGTGTTTGCCCAGGGCTTCTGCCAATATATGTGGCTGTGGCCTTGTGCACAAGCATGTATCATGTCATAGATGGCCCTAGGTCATGTGCATAGGTGTCTATTGTAGTATAGACAGCCCTGGGCTACATGTACAGAATGTATAACTGGCCAAAGACAGCCCTGGGTCAAGTGTACATGTGTGTAACACGATGCAGACAGCGCTAGGTGTTGTGTACTGGGGTAGACCATGGCAGCATACATGGTCCTGGATGTGCAAAGCAGTGTGGCATTTTTCGATGATGTGACTGTGTGTCCATGCTGTAGCAGAATGTATGTAGTGACCAATGAGTGAACTGTGCTCTTGAAGATGAGTGTGTGCCTCCGGCAGTATCTAAGTGTGTGTGAGAACGTGCACAAGCCCCAGCTGCAGAGATTTGCCCACTTGCAGGCTACTTCTGCAGAACTGCCCAAGTGCAGTGAGAAGATGATTCAGGCAATAGCAAAACGTCAAGTCAATTACACACGCGCACATACCTATTTAGTGAGTTCAAAACAATTACATTAAATTAAAAACTTAATTTTATTGAGTTAACAGTGAGCTTAAAATGCAATTCATTTAAAACATTCATTGAATTAAAAGAAACAGTGGGGCTGTTTTACGAACTTAATTGTTTTTTATCTCACTATTTTTTAGTATAATAGAAGGTGGGCTTTTAAATTAACTTCATCGTCTTCAAAACTCTGGTTCTAACTGGTTTTTTATGACAGAGGTGACTTTCTATCTCAATTTAAAGATGGGCAGGCCCAGTCCCTAAAGAAGACAGCTTCTATTTGTGGATCTAACTGCGTCTGACCATGGGCAGGCATGGTGATTAGGGTCTGAACATGTGTTTATAGTACCTACACACATTTATAGACATGAATTACATAGCCACTTGTGTATGGGGGTAGGGGTCATATAAGATCCTGCCGTGTACTGGTGTTCATGTTACAATGTCTTCTCTCAAGACAGCTGTATATGTGCATGACTATGTGTGGCAGAGTTTGCATCAGGACTTGAGTCTGGGGTGAGAACATTTCCCAGTCTGGACTCATGCGAGTACAATGTTCTTTGCTCTGTTCTTCTGGCCCTCTGGGATTGCTCCTTCATTCTCACCAGCACCCTCTTGGCACCTCTGACCATCTATGGGCTGCCTGTGGGCCTCCTCCCTCATTACACTTTCACCCTTGGCCTCTGAATCAGGGACAACCCAGCCCGTTCCTTGAGGATCTGGGCCAGGCAGAAGTCAAGCACTCTTTGTTTAGGTTCGTCTTTATCTTCAAGAGTTTTTTTTTAGTATAAAATTTATACCTTATAGCTATGTTTAAGAGTGCTGTTTGGGACACTGAGGAGGTAATTCACTGGGTAAAGTGCTTGCTGGGTTAACACAAAGACCCAGGCTCAGATTTCCAAAGTCATATAGAAGCCTGACGCTCCAACGCATCTGCAACCCCAGTACTGCAGAGCAGAGACCAGAGGGTCCTGGGTTTAGTCAAAACAGCAAGGGCCAGAACAACCAGTAAGAGATCCTATCCCAAAAATAAGGTAGAGAGTGATGGAGGAGGACACCGGGCGTCAACCTGAGATCTCTTCATATGTGCACACCCTCACATACACATACCTATAAAAAAAACACACCCCACACAATTTTTAATTGAAAAAAAATAAAGTTCCATGCCAATTAGAACATTCACAGAGGTGTGTAACCATCACCATGAGCCATTTCCAATACTTGTCCATCACCTCAACTGAACTCCTTATACCCTCCTCCTAGCTCCTAGAAACTTCTGGTTTTCTTTCTTTTTTTTCTGGTTTTTTGAGACAGAATTTCTCTATGTAACAGTTCTAGCTGTCCTGGAACTAGCCCTTGTAGACCAGGCTAGCCTCGAACTCACAGAGATCCCCCTGCTTTTGCCTTCCAAGTGCTGGGATTAAATGTATGCACCGTCACCACCCAGCGAAGCTTCTGTTTTCTTTTCCTGTGAATTCACCTAGTCCAGGAGCCTCTGTAACTGGAATTTTATGGTGCCTGTCTTTTGTGACTGACTAGTTTCATGCAGCACAATGTCTGAGTTCATCTATGCAAGCATTTCACCTTTCCTGGGTGTGTACTGTTCCACTGTGGGGATATGGCACATCTCACTGGTCCACTCACCTCTTGTGAATAACGCTGCTGTGCACACAGATATCCAAGAAACAGAGTCCCTGCTTTCAGTCCTTCAAGGTTAATACCCCGAAGCAGGATAGCACAACCACCTGGATCACATGGTAACTCAATGTCTGCCTGCTTGAGAAACAGCCAGATTGCTTGCACTGCTGTTGTATTTGACATTCCTGTAACAGGGTTCTGATTTTTCTACATCATTTTTTTTTATCAGTAATGACCATCCCAGTGTGCGTGAACAGGGATCACAGGACATTCCTTTTACTTAAATTCATTGCTTACACCTCTCTCCTTCAGATCACTTTTGTCTGAGGTTCCAATTCTTCTAGGTCCCTAAGCATACAAGTAATGTCCCTATTTAGTGATACATACATGCATACATACACTAAATATGCAATCAGGGCCTACCCTATGACAGGTACCGTTATAGACCAGAGATACAACAGTAAAAAAAGTCAATACATCTCATCTTTGTGATCTTAGATTCTGCTGGGTCAGACATCCAAACACAGAAGTAAACGCTATAGAATGTCAGAAGCCATGGGAAGAAAAACCAGGCCTCTGACCAGAAGCCTGAACAAGACACTAACAGCTAAGGGTTGTCTCATAAAGAAGGGGGCCTCTCCTCAAGGACATGACGGAGGAGAGAGACCAGAGTGGGGACAAGAACAGCATAAAGGGCTATGTGAGAAGATGGGCCTGCATCTCAGTGTCATGCTCACAGAGGGCCAGACGCCATGGTAAATACCTCAGGGTTCAATCTAAGTGAAACAGGAGCCTTCAAAGGGCTAGGCACAGACTGATGGTGTGTCCTTGGCTTTAAGAACAAAGTCTTCTAAGAATATCACCGTGTCTTCATCCTCGGCTCTTCCCCTGACCCACAGGCACCCAAGAAGGAGCTGCAGAATGGAGTCATCCGGGGATACCAGATTGGGTACCGGGAGAACAGCCCTGGCAGCAATGGGCAGTACAGCATCGTGGAGATGAAGGCCACCGGGGACAGTGAGGTCTACACCCTGGATAACCTCAAGAAGTTTGCTCAGTACGGCGTGGTTGTTCAGGCCTTCAACCGGGCGGGCACAGGGCCCTCATCCAGTGAGATCAACGCCACCACCTTGGAGGATGGTAAGGGCAGACATAGGGCTAGGAGCATGGGGTCAGATTCTGGTTCAGGCAGACCCAGGACCTGGATCTACATGGATCCTGTGAGTAACACAAGCTTCATGGGTGCTCTTGTTTGCTTTCTACTGCTGTGGATAGAACACTGGCCAAAAGCAACTCGAGGGAGAAAGGGTTAATTCATCTTACACTTCCAGGTCACACTGCATCACTGAGGGAAGTCAGAACAGGAACTCAAGGCAGGATCCCAGGGCCATGAACTGAAGCAGAGGCCACAGGGGAACTCTACTTCCTGGCTTTCTCTTCATGACTGACTCAGCCTGCTTTCTTGTGCAGCCCAGGATCAGCACCCCAGAGCTGGTTCTATATACGGAGGACTGGGCCTACCTATATCAACCACTAATCAAGAAAACACTTCAAAGACTTGATTACATGTCAAACTGGTGGAAACAGTTTCTTAGCTGAGGTTTCCCCTTCCAAGATGACTCCAGTTTGTATCAAGTTGACCAAAAAAATAAACAACACACTTGCCGCCCCATCTCCTCTCGCCCACTGCTCCTAAGGGGGCCTTAGTCCACTCAACAAAAACAGCATCAGCCCCTGCAGTTGCCCTCTGTCTCTCACTCGCTGATGCTCTGCCTCTTAGTCTGTCTGTCTATCCATGTCTCTCCGTCCCTGTATCTTTCTCCTCCTTTCTGGGCCCCTAGCTCCTGACCAAGCTTTTCCCCTCATTCTGGGCCCAGTTTCTCCTTTGAGAAGCAGAGAAAGAAGAGCCAAGTTCCACTTGTATTTCTAGGCTAGAATGTGTCCCTGATCTGTTTCAAGGGTATAAGAAGAGACTACAGAATTAAGAAATGCTCACAGCTAAATGCCTGGCTCTTAAAAAACACTCTGCTGGAGGTGGCACACATCTTTAGTCCCAACACGGAGGAGACAGAGGCAGGAGAATCGCTGTGAAATCAAAGCCATCCTGGTCTACACAGTGAGTTCCAGGCCAGCCAGCGATATATAGTGAGGCCCTGTTTCAAAATCAATCAATCAATCAATCAATCAATCAATCAATAAATCTTAGCACCCTGGTAACTAGAAAAGCTCCCACAGTCTGATAGTAAATGAAGGGGCCCATATTCTCCAGAGCTGGGAGGGAACAGGAGCATGCATCCTGTCCACACACAGGAAAGATGACAGACAGCTGGGGCCTGACCCTGTATCGGGATGAGGTAGGCGATAGGACCTCGATGCCTCCAGAGCAGCGGGCAAGCAGTCAGTCACATACACACACCCTGAGAAAGCAGACTAGGAAGATGCGAAAGAGTCTTCAAAGCCTCCTCCTGACACCACAATTGAAAGTGAGGGGCTGAGAATGGAAACTGTCTGGGTCTTGAGCCTACTTCTCCCGGAAGGGAGGGTGCAATGCCCTTGCTGCCTGGCACTACAAGAGTCAAGCAGCCCAACACTGGCGAGCCAGGCCCTGAGCTTAGCTGTGCCCTCTCCTCCCCCTTCCCCTTTGCAAGTTCAAGCCCATGCTGAGAGGGAGAGTCAGGCCAGGGACACTGGAGAATCTTGTACTCACTTTTCTATACCTTAGCTGAAGGTAGAAGCTGTCTGGGGCTTTCAAATCCTGGTTCCGTCCCCAGATCCCTTCTCACTGGGTTAGGACACAGCTGAGTTTGGGGATGTGATATATCCCAGATCTGAGTGGGGGTGGGGGGGGAGAGGGTTGGCAGAGATCAGAGAGTTACAGAGAGCCTGAAGAAGCACAGCCACACTGCCCTGGGTCCCCCCCAAGTTTCTGCCCCACCTGAAGACATTGACCACAAGCCTGGCTGGGCTGAGGAACAGCTTATCGCCTTTCAGGCTGGAGTATTGGTCCAAGTGGTGCCCTAGCTCAGGAGTTCCCACAGCACTCTCTGGAAGCCTTCAGTGTACCCGGGACTCCATGATGACAATAACAATGGGGGCTGGGCTGCTGCTGGTCCATGGAGTACCCATGAAAACCACAGCTGGGTCAGAATTCACGAAGCTCAGCCACAAACTGGCAGCAATTAACCCCCTACCTAGTACTATAACAGCCACAGCCATGACGGACATCCAAGCCTGATCCTGAGGCTGTACTCTTTCTGGTCCACCTGCTTCCCCTGTGCTTGGGAGCAAGACTGGATACAGCATGCCCCAGGAAGGTCTGTTGAACCAGCTGTCCAAACCCAGAGCCCAGACCAGCCCGCCCAACCCTAAATTCCCATCCTTCATCCTCAGGGGAAGACAGCCTTCCTCCCACACACAGGGCCCTCAGAGTTTCCACCAGGGAGGGCTCGGCACGGGCTGTGGGGTCCTTTTCAAAACAAAGGAGGAGACAGGAAAGAAAGTTTCCACGTGCATTTGCTCCGCAGTTTTTCATACTTAATTAAGGCCCTCGTTAGCCTGTCAGATCCTGATCGTTTTCTGGCAATATTAGCACTCCTCCTGGGGTATTCAAAGGCCCCTGCCTTAGCAAGAGTGTCTTTTCCATAATTGTATTACCTTCATTTTGTTCGAACGGGCGATCTGTATTAGTTTATTACACTGGGTCCCTAATTACATGGTGCTTATATTTTTACACCTAAGTAATATGAAACAATAATCACTCTCAAAGAGGATCGTTAGGATGATGTATTATCATTTAAATGCTCATAAAAATTAGAGTTGCCTCTTGTGGGGCAACGGGATCTAATTACCTTCCCTCCAGCCTCTGCCTCCTTTCTCCCATTCACGGCAGAGCGGGCTCCCTCTCTCCCTCTGTCCTGGGCTCCTAGGAAGCCCGCACAAAGTGCCGCTGAAATCTTAGCAGAGTTAACCCCGGTGCTTTGCTCCCACGGTGCAGTTAGAGGACTCAGAAGTCGCAGAAGGAGCTCTCAGAGTCAAGGACACATAGGTCACCCACGTTGGCCTCATGCTGTGGTTTCAGGACACCCAGGTGTTTGGGCATGCTCCTACATAGAGATGGGACAGGGAGTAATGGGCCCAGAAGTCATAGAGATCTCCATGGGAACTTTCCGACCCTAAGCCAGGATCCACTGAGGTCCCCCTTTCTTTTTCACCTTCCCTTCAGCTTAACCCCAGAATGCAGGAATCCCCAGGCCAGGCCTGGGTTCAGGTCCATCTCTCTAGCTCTCTGTTCGATGCTGAGTTACAACCACCCTGGAGCTTGATTGGTCTCCCAAGCCACCACACTCATCTTGTGGACTCTCTGACTGTCGTGGCCTACTGAGGAGTTGCTGGGACCATGCCCAAGTTCATCCCCTTCTCCAGAATCTAACAGAAGCAGGGCCATCTTGCCCCAAAGAGATGGGGTAGGGTGAGACTGGAGATCAGATAAGATGTGAATGGCAGTCCAACTCCCAGACTTCTGAGTCAGATAGTCCCTGTGCTTGTCTGACTCTACATTCCCATGATCAGGCAACTTGGGCCCAGTATGAGACACATAGGTTATATCGTCATTCATACCCTAACTAGCTGACTAGTTGTTGCTTCCCATTACTCTCTACAGTGCCCAGCCAACCCCCAGAGAATGTCCGAGCCCTGTCCATCACTTCTGACGTGGCTGTCATCTCTTGGTCGGAGCCCCCACGAAGCACCCTCAACGGTGTCCTCAAAGGCTACCGGGTCATCTTCTGGTCACTCTATGTTGATGGGGGTGAGTCTTCTGGGGTTAATGTCTGGGTCCAAGCTAACGGGCTTGCATTCCTTGGGATGCGCCCTAGGCTTGGTTAGAACTGAGTAGCTTCCAGCCGCATGTCAAGAGCAAGCACAACCCCCTCTGTACACATCTGGAGGCTATAGCAGTGTGATATGACAGTGAGGGTCCACTTGCCTGTGTCCTTGTTAGCCTAGGACCAGAGCCAGATGAGGGCCAAGGTCATGCACACAGTCACCTCCCTGGTGAGGGGCAGTAGGTACCAGCCACACCTAGACAATTACACGCATAGGAGTCATTGGGATACTGAGACACATTTGTTATTCTGATATATTGATATTAAGACTTCATGGCTATATCAGACAGGGAACAGGTGGCACACACATGTGTGTTGAGGGGGTACTTTTAGCGGGGTGGGGAAGAGAGAGGATGGCCAGGATTAGTACCTTCGGGAAGCGGTCATCGTCTAGGCCTGGAGGGATAAGAGAGGAAGCAGGCTTATCCGAGCCTAGGGAAGCTGTTCCTTGGTCAAACTGATGGAGCCAGATGGGTAGTAAGATGTGTAAGTCCAATGTGAACAGCACCCCAAGTACTGTGAGGGGCGGGACAGAATTCACAGAGCAAGGACAGGGAGGGGTAAGTGGAAGAGATGCCTTCAGGTTACCTTCTTGGCCTCAGATGCAGACAGGCCTGTGGAACCCCAACAAATGCATCGCTCTCATGCCCAGTGGTGTTCACAAAGGCCTTCTAGTGACCAGGAACTCTGTAGGATGCAGAACCAGCAGCCTGCATCCCCAGCTGTGCACACAGAAGCTTTCCTCACCTCAGTGGAGCACAGAGGCCTGTGATGTGCTTGTAGCCTAGTTCCAAACATTCTGCCTCCCACGCTTCTGCATCTTCCCTTCCAGAGGACCTGGGGATGCGGCTCACAGCAATCTCTCCAACTTATTGCTTCCTCCCTCTGGACCTGAACGCTACTGGAAAGACATCCCTGATCCATTGTCTCCTAGGGAAGCTTAGAAGCCTCAGTCTTAGGGCTCAACCACTGAACATTTCCCAAGTACCTTGTGAAATCCTGGGCCTCCCAGTGATGGTGTTTGCCTTTTAATCCCTGCACTCAGGAGACAGAGGCAGCCAGAGCTACATTGTGAGAACCTGTCTCAAAAAACAAACAAATGTGACCCTTACACAGTATTAGCGTAAGGCTCCTTCCAGAACTTGCTTTCTTTTTTCCAAGGCAATGAGCTTTCCAACCCAGCCCTCAGAGAAGACATTGACCTCTACTCTCCAAAGACCGCAGGGCTGTTAGTGAAGCCACCCTCTTCCTAGGTCTTTTCATGTGCCCCAGATAGGTCTGCCCTGCTTCCTATACGGAGGCCTCTGAATCCCATCTGGGCATGGTGTTCTCACCCTCTGGACCCTACACTCTGCACTGCCACCTGGTCAATGCCTTGAGCCTTTTGCCTGCACCTGGTTGCCTGTGAGACCCTGGGAGTTGATTTCCAGTCTCTCGCTCTAAGAAGTCTGTCCCCAGCTCCCGTGTCCGGGCCAGTCTTCCACATAGTTTCAGCAGGGGCTCAGAAGCCCTCCCTACTCATTTTCCTTTTTGCTTCTGTGGCCCTCTCCAAGGACACTTGACATAAACTATATTTTCAGACAGGATCTTACTATGTAGCCTGGCTAATGTAGCCCAGACTAGGCTCAAAGTCCCAGAGATCCTCCTTCCTCAGTCTCCTGAGGGCTGGGATTAACCATGCCCGTCATTCCCTGAACATTTCTTTAGGATCTACAAGAAGCTCCTTAGTGGAGCCAGAATGATTGGTCCCAGTGGGCTAAGGAAGGGGGGAGTTGGGTAACAGGAGGGCTCATACTTCAGGGAGAGACACAGATGAATATATCTTAAAGAGAGAGCATCGAGCAAAAGTTGGTACAAGGTCAACCGGGGTTCAAGGCCAGCACACACTTGGCACTTGAGGAGAAGAGACATGGCCTAGGGACGGATCTACTGCCTTGTAGAAGACCCTCTAGTCCTCACCCCTACAGAGTAGAAGTCTGACCCCAGGTTAGGAGGAGGGTAGGGAGCACGGCAGGGTCAGTCTCACGACTAAAGGCCTGTCTCCACAGAGTGGGGTGAGATGCAGAACGTCACCACCACAAGGGAGCGAGTGGAGCTGCGGGGCATGGAGAAGTTCACCAACTACAGCGTCCAGGTGCTAGCCTACACGCAGGCTGGGGATGGTGTGCGAAGCAGCGTGCTCTATATCCAGACCAAGGAAGATGGTGAGTCCAGGGACGACCTACCTCTCTGCCCTCAGGAACCAACTTCCCAGGAGCGCACCCCACATACAGGCTGTTTGCTTCCAGCCCCTGTCCCGGGGCTGGGAAGAGAAAGAACCATTCTTTCTTCTGTCCCTTTGAGCTCTTGGAGGGTGATTTGGAGGACGGGGCTATCCACCAAACATTTCTGACTGTGGAGCTTGTTGACATGTTCTGGGATGGATGTGGGAACAACTAAGCCACTGTCTCCTCCCTTACCACTCTGCTCTCTGAAGCACCAAATCACCAGCCTGACAACTCTTCTCCCAGTCCCACCCTTGAGGCATCCTTTTGAGGCACCTGCTCTCCCGACAGACACAGCTCAGTTTCCTCTAGGCATGGATGTTGAGCTCAATGTGGGAATCAGGAAAGTCACCTTGTACAACCAGGGCTAAGGACTTGGTGATCATGCCACCAAAGCCCCAGTGTGGTCCAGGCCTTGAACTCACCGGGAGGAAACTGAGATAGGCCTCCATCTGGAACTGTGGTCACTATACTCTTCTTCATTGAGCATAATTCAGGCCAAACTCAAGACTATAGTGTACATAAGCACAGGTTGGAAGCTGAATCAACCCTGTAAGGAACAGGTAGGGAGAAGGGTTGAGCTTCCAACTGGGGCCCAGAACTGCACAAATCTGGGAGACTACTGAAGTAGAAGGTGGCCTGGACCATACCTGGCACACAGCTCTGGGCTCCCACTCCTGGCCAGCCTTTCTTATCCCACCCTGCCCTAGACTTTTGTTGTTATTCTATGTGTGTATATGATGTGTATGTGCATATACACATGCATGCCATGGCACATGTGTGGAGGTCAGAGGACAACTTGGTGGAATTGTTTCTGACCTGCCATGGGTTTTGGTGATCAAATTCAGACTGCCAGGCTTGTACAACACGTATCTTTATCTACCTAGACATCTCACTGGCCCTGCATTGTTTCTTAACTGAATGTCCTGGGCCAGGTACCCTGTCTTTAGAAAGGCTGCATTTAGGTGAAGTGTCTGGACCACAGTAGGCATGTAAAATGTCTGGAACGCAGTAGGCATGTAAAGTGTCTGGAGCACAGTTGGCATGTAAATGTCTGGGACACAGTAGGCATGTAAAGTGTCTGGGACACAGTAGGCGTAAAAAGTGTCTGTCTGGGACACAGTAGGCATGTAAATGTCTGGAACACAGTAGGCATGTAAAGTGTCTAAGACACAGTAGGCATGTAAAGTGTCTGTCTGGGACACAGTAGGCATGTAAAGTGTCTGGAACGCAGTAGGCATGTAAAGTGTCTGGAAGGCAGCAGGAACATGTAAGCAGTAGCCATCATTGGTATCCTGGTTTCCTTCCTACTCAGTCTGTGTTTCTTCGAAGAATAAGGAGACCTGGGATCTAGGGCCTACCCAGATATTTGACAGAGGTTCTGGAAGGGTCAGAGTTGTGAACGATGGGGAGGAATTTCATACACTCCCAGTACAGGGGCTGAACCAGCTCCCACCTGGCTTGATCTACTCCTCTCCCTTCAGCCTTGCCACCAGCTGCCACCTCAAGAGCTCTAAGCAATGCAGCATTTACCAACCTTCCTGTCACACTTCCCTGCCTTGACTTCCTGAGATAGCTCAGGGCAGAACTACCTGCTCTTGGGTAGAGGATTAACTGAACTGGTGCCCAGCCTGGCCCCATCTTAAAGCCTGGGACCATGCCAGGTATATTCCTGGTCTTTGGAAATGTGTCATAGAGGTCCCTAAGCTTCCTGACTCCTCCTTTAGTCAAGGCCACACCCATGAGCATCTCCATGTATTTAACCAAAGTGAGGCCTCAGGGGCCACAGGCATCATCCTGCCCTTGCAGGAGCCTTCAGCTGTGTACCCAAAGTCACCTTCAGAGACACACAGGAACATGCACAACAGAATCCAGGCTTAGGGTGGGAGTCAGGGAGCACAGTCCCCACCTTTAGGAGACAGCTGCGTGGTATGGAGAGTCTTGGCCAGTTCCACAGAAGAACTTCCATAGTCCTATGATCATCTGACAAGTCACTCTGGCTTCTGCTGCCTCCTCAAGTGGAAACAATGGTGTCTCATCAAACTAAAAAAAGCAAAATAACTAGAGAGCCATTTGTAGAAGAAGCCCTGGGTGATAACAATGATAGTTGCTTTGTGGCTACGAAGATGCTGTCAATGACATAACAGGGGAGAGACTCGGTGTCCCCAAAGGGAAGCCCAAGGCCAGAAAGGACATAACATCAGATGGAGTCTCGTCCCAAACAGCAGTGGTGACTTGACATGTATGTGTCATGTTGTCATACATGAACTGTCCTCCTCCTAGCCTTCTTTCCATTTTACAGAGGAGAACTCTGAGGCCGAGAGTCCCAGAGCTATTCTGTGAGTGCCACTCAGAAAATGGAAGACAAATCCAGACTACCCTTCACCTAGGACTGTTAGGAAATTGTTTGTACAATAGAAAGCCTAACCAAAAGATTCAAAAGCAGTAAACACAGTTACCATCACATGGACCAGGGAGCCCCGAGTGACGTACTCAAGGTTGGTTTGATCAGTAGCTCCCCTCTGCCATCATCAGCATAGCAGAATCCCTCCCCCTGCACCACCGCAGCCAAGATTTCAAGATGGCCACCGCTTCCTGCTTCTCACCAGACCAGGCGGAGGAAGTCACTTCAAGTCACCATGCCTCTCTTGGCATAAAGGAAACTTTTCCTAGAAACCTGCTTATCAGATTTATCCTCACTTCCTATTGGCCAGAACAGGGCCACATTCCTCTTACTAAACCAGATATCAAAAGGGAATTTTCATGGCCAAACATCTTCCCAAAACTTAATATATCCTCCCATGTAGGTGACAGAGTCAACTCTTTCTAAAGTGTGGAGGGGCGTGGGAACATGATCAAAAGACAAGTCTGTCTGTAGGAGGCAGGGCAGGGTGCCAACCACTTCGGCTGGCCGTGTCACTGCCACACTAGTCCACCAGCCAGGCTCTGCCATGGGCAGGGGGATGTTATTCCAGTTTGTACTCGTTTAACAGGGAAAGCAGATAGGTCCATGTTTCAAGCACAGCCCCTCCCTCTGTGGGACCGTGGCCAAGTATCTTAATCCGAAGGCATTAAGGCCTCACCTGCCCACCATCCTCAGGATTTTACATTTTTCCTAAGGAAAAGAAATTAAATCCTTTAGAGGCAACCAAAAGAAACAGAAAAAAAAATAAGGGGCTGGGGAGATAGCTCGTTTTGAAAACTGCTTGTTATACAACATAAAGACTCAAGCTTGATCCCCTTAACCCACAAAGAAAGCCAGGTGTGGTCAAGTGGTGGTGGCACACGCCCTTAATCCCAGCACTCAGGAGGTAGAGGCAGGTGGATCTCTGTGAGTTCGAGACCAGCCTGGTCTACAGAGTGAGTTCCAGGACAGTCAGGACTATCCCACAGAGAAACTCTGTCTCGAAAAAAAAAGAAAAGAAAAGAAAAGAAAAGAAGGAAGAAAGGAAGGAAGGAAGAAAAGAAAGAAAGTCAGGTGTGGTATCTTGTTCCTGTAAGTCAGAGCTGCAGGACAGACAGATCCCTGGGCCTCATTAACCAGCTAATTCAGCCTAATTGGCAAGTTCTGGGTCCCAGTAAGAGACCCTAGCTCAAAAACCAAGGTAGATGTTTCCTAAGGATCACCCCCAAGCTTGCCCTCTGGCCTCCTCATTCACGCACACACACACTCACGCACACACACACACACACACACACACACACACACACTAGCACACATGAACATGCACACACACAAGAGAAATAAGGGGCTAGAGTGATGGCTGAGCAGTTAAAAGCACTTGCTGCTCTTAGAGAGGACCCAGATTCAGTTCCCAGCACCCACGTGGCAGCTCAAAACTGTTATTCCAGTTCCAGGAGATCCGATGATCTCTTCCAATCTCTGCAGGCACTGCACACACACGGTGTACGTACACACACAGAAGTAAAACATTCATACACATAAAACAAAAAGTGAATAAACAAAGCAGTTCTTACAAAGAAAGAAGATAAAAACATAAACACAGAAGTCGCATACACTTACCCAGGGCAGACTTACTCAGTCTGGGCTTGGTTTCAGGTTGTCTTGGTTGGACTGTCTTTTCAAAGACTTTTGTCCATGCTTCACCTTCCCTGTGGAAACCAAAGCCAAGCCAAGCTGCATACTAGACCATTTTTAAAGGCCTCTAGCTGAGGGAGGAGCAGGACTAGAGCCATTCTGGAAAGATAAACCTTGTTGGGTGCAGTGAGGAAAGACAGTGCAAGAAGCCTATGCCAAGCTGGGCTCACAGCTGATGAAGGGGAGGAGGTGAGTTGAGAGGAGCCATGGGCCAGGAGACTCACCCCTACCTTCCCTGCTGAAGGTAACTAGGAACTTAGTGATGTCCTTTAAAAATGCCTGCCTAGAGGTTATCATACGGCTGACAGGAGAGTGAATTGCTGGGTCAGGACCCCAGGGAAAATCAGGACTCAGGAAGGAGCCTGATGTGAAGCAGCCCTTTCCCAAAAGGACGGTTTCTGAATCTTGAGACAGTGAGCGAGACACTGAATAGCACTGAAGGAACACAAATCAGAGGCCAGAGCCTACTGTGAAGTTTAAATCTGTGTGGTGAACTCCATTCTCCTTCAATCAAAACCTTGAAAGACAAACAGCCCTTGAAGTCCAGGAGTAAGCATGAGCCAAGTGCACACAGCTCAACCTTGTATTCTCCTCTCAGGCCTATAGTCTGGATTGAAGTTACCCCAAGTTGCTAACGTCCAGGATGTATCTTCTCTTTGGGGAGATGGTTATCACCTGAGTTGTCACATTACTGGTACAGTTTAGCAAGCATTGTGTCTGGTATACAATAAAAATTAATGGGAGAGAATCAGCAAATAAACAAAAGCCATCAAGGAAAGTATACAAAGGAAATATATAATTTCCGCAATTGAAATGACCAAACATGGACTCTATGATAATTACGCTTGGAAAGACTGAAAATTAGAATGAAACTATCGAATGGGAAAAAAAATTAAACTAATGCCAAAATTAAGAACTCAGTCACTAACTAGAAAATGATAGTTTATGCCTTTAATCCCAGCACATGGGAGGCAAGGCAGGCAGGTCGCTGTGAGTTTGAGGCCATTCTGATCTACAAAGTGAGTTCCAGGACATCCAGGGCTGTTACACTGAAAAATTCTGTCTCAAAAAAAAAGAACTCAACTACTGAGTTTAAAAGTACAATAGATAGAGCAAAAGAGATAAACTTTGAATTGGAAGATAAGGCAAAAGAAAACAACCAGATGAAACAGAGAGAGACCACAACCCCAAAGTCCATCAAAAAACAGATATTTACATTACAATTTAACTCATAACTACACAATTACAGCAAAATTACAATTAAAGGGTCACAGCACTAGGAAGGTTGAGAACCACTTCACTAAAAAGTAAAAATGAACAAGAAAGATGCATAGAAAAAGTATGTCTAATGAATTATCTTTAAGCTTTAATATGCATATATATCAATTAGGAGTCATGTTAAAATCCAGACCCTGATTCAATAGGTCGAAGGTAGAGCCTGAGATTTCCCAGGGTCTAAAACGCTCCTGATGCCCATGCTGGTTGATGGGCTATTCTGGGTATCAAGGATATAGAAACATGGAATTCATCCCAGAGAAAAGGAGAAAGAGAACTAAGCAGAAGGTAATATTCTGAAAATGTCTTAAAGATGATAAGTACTATCAAGCCACAAAAATCAAGACGTTCAGCTGGGCAGTGGTGGCGCATGCCTGTAATCCCACCACTTGGGAGGCAGAGGCAGGCCAATTTCTGTGAGTTCGAGGCCAGCCTGGTCTACAATAACTAGTTCCAGAACAGACTCCAAAGCTACAGAGAAATCCTGTCTTGTAAAATCCTCCCCAAAAAGTGAAGATGTTCTAACTCTGTAGATGGCAACATAAAGGAAATTTACACATCTAAAACAGTATAGCAAAGCAGGGGAAAAGAGTAAGGAGGGAGACAGAGAGTGAGTGAATGAATCTTAGAAGATGCTAGAAGGAATAAAATCTGAAAAGAAGCAATGATAAGGTTTTCAGTCAACTTGTCAGAAATGGTGGAAGCCGAAAACAAGTTTTCAAAAAGGGATTGGTTATATGTAAGGAAATCGCTATGACCCGTGATGATCCGCATAGACTATGCCTCAAGATTAAAATAAAATGAAGACATGTGCATTCAGATGACTGGAGACAGGGTTCAACAGTTAAGAGGAGTTTTGCTCTAGCAGAGGACCTGGGCTTGGGTCTCAAACCCCACATCGTGGCTCACAACATCTCTAACTCCAGTTCCAGAGGATCCCATGCCCTCGTCTGACTTCCACAGTCAACGGACATGCTTGCGGTACACATACACAGGCATGCCAAACTCTCGTACACATAAAATAAAAGAAAGAAATCTGAAAAAATAACAAAATGTTAAAAAAAAAAGTCTTCATTCAAGCAGTGGCTGAAAGAATTTATTACCAATGTTCCTGCCCTAGAGAAACAGTCAAAGGTCTTGTTGTTTGCCTAGAAGGGAAAGGATCCCAGATGGAAGCTCGGTGATGCAGTGAGGAAAACAAAGCAATTAAGTGATGAACATATGGGTCAATCTAAATGAATACCGACTGTATAAAACATCACAGTGATGATGCATGTACAGAACGGAGATACCCAGCAGTGACGGACAAAGTGGGAGGGGTCTGTGAACTCTGTGGTGTCTTTGCATTGTCTGAGAAGAAAAGTGCCAGTTCATACTGAACTTTGATAGCTAAGACTCACTTATGGTCACATGTGGTGCCCCATATCTGTAATCACATGTCTGGAAACCCTGGAAACCACTTGGGAGCCTGAGGGTGGAGAAACTTAAGTTTGAGACCAGTCTGAGTTAAAGAAGTGAGACCCTCCCTATCTAAAAAAAAAAAAAAAAAAAATCACGTTGGAATCTGTTTTAATAACCACTGAAAACAATGCAATGCTATTTTATTATCAAATTAGTAGGAAATACAATTTTCATTTTAAAATTTATTTTATTTTATGTACATGAATATTTTGCCTGTCTGTATATATGTGCACCATGTGCATTTCTGGGGCCTCCAGAGGTCTGCAAAGGGCATTGGATCATCTAGAGCTGGAGTTATGAATGGTTGTGAGACACCACGTGCCCCTAGTCCTCCACAAGAGCAGTAAGTGCTCTAAACCACCGAGCTATCTCTCCAACCCAAGCAGTGTAATTTTCAGAACACTTAATTCAAAAGAAGTCAAAAAAGCAAAGAAAAGCAAAACATAGGAAGGGAAACAAGCAGAAAGTATTTATATGAGGGTAAGTTTAAACACAAATCTACCAGCTGTTGCCTTAAAGATACACTGAGTAAGCCCTCCAATTAGAAGATAAAGCCTGTCAGACGGGCTAGTAGTAACGAAACCTAAATTCATACTGTGCAGAAGGAATCGAAAGTGTAAGAATGTATAAAAGGGGATGGAAAGATGGCTTGCTGACTAAAATGCTTGCCAAGCAGGACTGCAGGCTAAGTTTGAATCCACACAACCCATCTGAGGCAGTTCAGCCACAGTCCCAGAGCTCCTGTAGTGAGATGGGAAACAGACGCAGGAGAAGCCGGAAGTTGGTGGGCCTGCTCTCCTGACATGTGCAGTGGTGAAAGACAGGAGACAAGGTGCAAGGTGAGGAGGACACCTGACCTCTCCACGTGAACCACGGCATATCTGCATGTGCACGCACACAAGATAAAAATGCGTAGAAAAGTTCAAAATAAAAGGATAGGAAAACAAAAAGTATAGCACGCCACATGTCCAAAACTGGAATTTTAATATCAGACCTAGGAGATAAAAGAAGGAGACATGGCTACAAGACTCCATCTGTTAGGCAGAGGAAACTCTGAGTTTGTATGGCCTAATATAACTTCAAAGCACATTCAAACAAGCCAAATGCGATGGCACACATCTGAAGTCCTAGCACCTGGAAGGCCAAGGCAAGAGAATCATGAATTCAAGGCCAGCTAGTGAGATCTTGTCTCAAAAAAAAAAACAGATAGATAGGTAGATGATAGATAGATAGATAGATAGATAGATAGATAGATAGATAGATAGATAATAAATAACTGGTAGATAAATACATAGATAGATAGATAGATAGATAGATAGATAGATAGATAGATAGATA